ATTGGAGCATGAGCTTTCGTGGGTGAATACCCACTTCGTCGGATGCATGTCGCATCCTGCGTCCGACGAAGTGGGTATTCACCCACGAAAGCTCATGCTCCAATGCGTCTGTTAGTCTATAAGGTGCCATAGGACTCTTAGTCTGGATCTGTAACAACAGCAAACACTGCTACCCCTCTAATGTTGAATTGTTAACTTTACACCAATATTTTTTTTTTTTTATTACAGCAGTGCCTAAGGGCCAATCAAGAATGCAGCCCCATTGTACTGGCTGCTGTACAGACACAGTAGTAGACACCCCCTGCTCGATAGAAAGATGCATACACTATAAGCCTAGAAGGGACCACTGTGATCATGTTGCTGACCATGTGTATAACACAAGCCATAGGACTTCCCTGAATTTTATTGTTTGAACTAGAGCATATCTTTTAGAAAAACATCCAATCTTGATTGAAAAATTTCCAGTAATAAAAAATCCACCATAGCCTTTTGTAAGTTGTTCCAATGGTTAATTACCCTCGTTATTAAAAATGTGTGCCTTATGTCTAGTTTAAACTTGTCCACTTCAACTTCTAGCCATTGGCTCTTGTTTATATATTTCTCAGCTAGATTAAAGAGCCCTTTATTATTCTTGCTGTTCCTAATGTAGATACATATAGACTCTGATCAAGTTATCTTTGTGTTAAGCTAAATAGATCGAGTTCATGACTTTCACTGTATGGTATGTTTTCCAATCCTTTAATCATTTTCAGTTGTGCACTTTACCCTGAAGGTTATAAAGCCTTCTACAAACTATAAGAATGGCATTCACCACTAAAATGCAGCCACCTCTGCAGTGGAATGCAGCTAGTGAATAACCCAGAGAAACCATAGATAACAGTCTGGGACCATGTGGAGGTCAATATCCCAGTTTGAATGCATTTAGGGAGGCAGAATGTCAGCTGAAGTTAATTTTGCCATAGACAACCTTTTTTCAATGCAACCAAGGAAATATGGGGTCAGCAGGCTTACCCTTCCCCAGGCGTATGTAAGCTTGGTTGGTAGCTTTTAATAACTTGATTTTTATAGTAGAAATTGGGGGACCATCCCTTTAGGGAGACTGTTTTCAGTGGTCAAATTCTGATGGCATGTTCTGTCATTTCTGGCACCAGACCCTGACCTTTGACAAGGGTTTCTTCAGGTAAACATATACTCAAATATAGAGGGTCAATTCAACTGTGGCTTCCATTCTAATTGAACCCACTTATTCCATGGGTGAATTTGTCCCCAAGTTGCCTAAGAATTGGGACCACTGTTTCCAAATGTAGTTAGCTAAAGATAGATCTTTGTGTAGGCAGCTAGGTAAATGGCCCAGCCTTTCAAAGATCCTGAGCACCCACAACTCCTGATATAATCAGTGGGAGCTGTGGGGGAAAGCACCTTTTGAAAATCAGGCTACTGTACTTTTAATTTTGAAGCCCAACTTTAAGTTTGAAAACATGGGTCCAAGATTCTATTAATATGATATTGCTTACAGCATTGTACTAACTAGACCTTTCCCAGGGAAATAGAGACAATTCCTGTCCCCAAAGAACTTGCGACTCAAAATATTGAAGCTAATAACTACATTCAATATCCTGTATGAAATAAGTCTCAGTCCAGCTCCCAATAGAAAGGTTATAGAAGTTACCATCACAGTATGACCGTGATTGTCCCGTTATTGCCAGTTGCAGCAGAGGCCAAGGATTGGATGGATGAATGTAGGGGAGGGGCTCTTCTCTCCACTCTGGAGGACTGTCCCTTCAGGTCAGGGGTGAGGGACATTGGAAGATGAAGCTTTTCTTGCTGCAGTGCAGACTTTCTAAACATCAGTCTGCAGGGCTGTTGATCAGGCACCTGTCCGAGACCCTGGTGCACTTACCTGCAGTGTGCCAGGTTACAGTCTCTTTTCCTGGCTCCTCCAGAGCTCCCAGCTGCACTTTACCCTCCCCCATCTTTTCCTGTGTACACCCCCCCATCTGTGATCCCCAAAAGCCATAAGTTTGCCTCCTCAGCTCCCTCTGAACATTGTCCAAAACACGCTGTCAGACCAGAAGGGGGAAGCTTGAGGGAGCTGTGGGGCCCCTATATGTGACTATCTTGCATAGCTGGCGGAGTTCCTTTGGGTAGTGTCCTCGGACTCCTTGAACTCCTTTGCAGGGCGGTAGGTGCTGCCTGGAGTTCTCTGTTCACGTGTCCCATTCTTTTCCCTTGTTTTAAATCTTAGAATCATGCTCCCATTCCTGGGTGGCTGTTGGTGTGGGTGTGTGTGTGTGGTGGTGTGTCGTTTTTTTTTTTTTTTTTTTTACTACTCACACTATTTTCAAGACCAAACAGCTTAAAACTTTCATTATCCATGCATTTGTGCAAATATGACCCTGGGCAGACAGCCACAAGCTGTCTCTCCTGGTTTTATTTGCAATTCAGAACTCTAATTATGCTCTTCAGTGACCCACCATTTGGAAACACTGCATTAAAGAGCATGTGAGCCCAGGAGAAGAGGGAAAAGGAGAAAGCAGAACAATGCAAAAAGCTCTGAAAAGCAGACTTGGAACAACTGATATGAAGCCAGTCACACACACATTTTTGCTAAAGGGAGAAGTCCATGACTTCCTTATATGAGTTGTCAGTTGGCTCTTCTTTTCCTATGTGGTTGTGACC